GATTAGTCGTTTTACCTACTCCATACTCTCGGATCAGAAATGAACGAATTTACCAAATCCATACTCTCGGACTAGGGACGAATGACTAATCCATACTCTCGGATTAAAGATGAATGATTATGCCTAATCCATACTCTCGGACTAGGGACAATAGCTAATCCATACTCTCGGATTAACGACGAATGATTATGCCTAATCCATATTCTCGGACTAGGGACAATGACTATGTCTAATCCATACTCCCGGATAAGTGACATATACTAACTTCTATTCTCTGAGTTTAACTCACTTGTACTCGTAAGAATATACTACCCAATATTCCTCATATTTAATTTAGGTCTACTCTTTATCCTAAATTATCAAATATAATCAGGTATGTTCTTTAACACGAATTTCAAGCAACATCAATTAACTCGCACATAAACATATAATTAATACTTCAATCAATACTTGTATTAAAATCATGTTCATGAAAGGGACTATGCACTCACCTGAGAAGGTGGTGACTCGGTACTCGGACAGCGCTTCGTTTACTTTAAAATAATTTCCTTCGACGAAACCTAGTATTATCACCAATAGATTTTAGTCTATTATTCGCCGAGACTAATTAATAGTCTAGCTATTATTACTATTATATAAGCGTTAAAAAAATACTTATATAACCCATAATAATAGCCCAAGTATTTATTATATGTTCTTAATAACGTTAATATAATTAAATAAAAACTATATTAAAAATAGCGTAGGCGTAGCTCACTTACAGCGGGTTTTATAGAAAACCAGGCTTTGCTTGGAGCAGCGTTTCCGAGCCGAAAAGCTCTTCTTCTCGGAGCCGTCGAGCACTCCGGGGCTTCCGCCTCGTGCTAGGGAGGTTCCCTAGGCTTTTCGGGGGATTTCGGGGCTAGAGAGAGGTTCTAGAGAGAGAGTAAAGAGAAGAAAGAATGGGAAAGGTGTGAAGAAAATGAGGGTGGGAGAGGTGGTATTTATAGGGTGAAAATGGCTGAACTTGGTGCCACATGTCACCATCTAGTGGCAAGACTTGGGGAGAAAGCAATGGCCAAGATTGTGCCACATCACCCATTTTCGCACAACACACTTCCGACTTCTAAAATCCGTAACTTTCACATACGACCTCCGTTTTTGACGTTCTTTATATCCACGCGTAGGTAAAAATAATATCTACAACTTTCATTTTGACTCCGTCGGCTAATTCTCGACCGATCTTAAATTTAACAGTACGAGGCGTTTAGACTGTTAAATGACCGCGAAGAATTCGTAACTCCTTCATACGGACTCCGTTTTCGTCTGTCTTTTTACCGTTGAGTTCCTATTAATGAGATCTTCAACTCTCATTTATTTCACGTAAGCCAAAAACCGCTCGAACTAAAATTCGAGTTTCGGGCTGTACACTGCTAAGCCGAATCTTAGAAAAATCATAACTTCCTCATACGAAGTCAGATTTGGGCGTTCTTTTTATCGACGCTCTTAGTTTAACATATTCTACGACTTTTGTTTAGATTGCTAAGGCTAAAAAGTCTTCTATCGTAAATTCACTATTTACGTCTTCCGGTGCCGTGCCGGTTTTGCCGTAAAACTTCGGCGGGCCATAACTTCTTCGTTATAACTCGGATTTCGGCGTTCTTTATATGTACGGAAACCTTGTGACATATTCTAAAACTTGGTTAAGACTATTCATTCTAAATAATCTTTTGTCGAAAAGTCATTTTTGACCCCTATTGCCTCTAAATTGACTAGCCCGGATCTGCGGGCGTTACAATTAATAAGTGGGTTAGATCTGATCCCACATCGGCTGGGAAGGAGAACTAAGCATTCCTTATAAGGGGTGTGGATACCTTCCCTATAACAACGCGTTTTAAAGCCGTGAGGGCAGCAGATCCCATAAGAACTCTGCAGTTAAGCGTGCTCGGGCGGGAGTAGTACCGGGATGGGTGACCCCCTGGGAAGTCCTCGTGCCGAGTGGCCCAAAGCGGACAATATTGTGATACGTGCCAGAAGGGGATGTTACAAATGGTATCAGAGCTAGGGCACGGGTCGATGTGTTCGACAGGGACGTCGAACCCTATAATGGGGGGTGAAAGTGGGTTAGATCTGATCCCACATCGGCTGGAAAGGAGAACTAAGCATTCCTTATAAGGGGTGTGGATACCTTCCCTATAACAACGCGTTTTAAAGCCGTGAGGGCAGCAGATCCCATAAGAACTCTACAGTTAAGCGTGCTCGGGCGGGAGTAGTACCGGGATGGGTGACCCCCTGGGAAGTCCTCGTGCCGAGTGGCCCAAAGCGGACAATATTGTGATACGTGCCAGAAGGGGATGTTACAAAAACTCTTTAAAGTTATGTTACGTTATAGTTATAAAAACTCCGTTTTTAAAGTACAAGCATAACTTAGTAGATAAATGAGTCTTTTCAATAACAGTCCAAGTAGAACATTAGTAAACTATAATAGGTATAGTTTAGGATAATTCTATTCGTTACTTCTAGTACAATGAAGCACACAAGAGTCAGTTCATACTTCATACAATAATCAAACAAACAATGAAGAGAATCAAACAATACCATACATAAATGTAGTAAAGAGATACAGAACAATACCATACAGAACAAACAAGTTAGGTTGCTATAGCATGAGAACACACAAACAGGATCTAAACAAAAGGTGATAGTTATATTGGGTATACATGATCATATAACTTTAATGTGAATTACACTGCTTGCAAGAATTTGCAGGGGTCGCGTTTGGCTCCCTTAATCTCTTGACAGGGAGAGCATTTAGTAGGGGTTCTAGCCTTCACATTATGACCAATAGGGTCCGACAGCTAATAGGATGTATGCTCTCCGCTTCATTTCCAGTTCCTCGTTGGGTTGTGGGCTTAGAACAGATTCACCCAATCTATTATCTACCCGATTATATATATATATATATATATATATATATATATATATATATGTATATGATATGTATGTATGTATGTATGTATGTATGTATGTATGTATGTATGTATGTATGTATGTATGTATGTATGTATGTTATGTATTCTTAGTAT